CAAGCATCGAGCGCCGCAACAACCGAGCAGTCGAGAATAGCCGCTGCTGCACCTTCTTTCCTGGCGAGACGCGAGAATCCGTCGAGCCCTTCATCCCCGTTCGTCTTTTTCGTTTCCGTTTTCCGAGTTTTCCCGAGAACGGTACCTAGTCGATCCCGTCTCGTTTAAATCGTTTATATGTTAATTGCTTATCGTGTTTTAAATGACGTGATGTGCCCTTGCGATTTGATTTACGAGATGTGAATATGTTGCGATTAATGGGTTCGACATGAATTTATGTGAAAGAGATGATTTTATGTGTATTCGTATATATGTTCGGGATCTCTTGAATTATGAGAAATTGAACGAGACCTCGAAAGTAGTGTAAGTCAGTGGATTATGGAACAAAGTCGAGTCCTTGGTCTTACGAGAAGGCCTTGGACGAGAAATTAATTGTATTGTGTTATGTGTGAATTGTCGATTTCGGTAATTGCTGTTTTGGTGTTTGAATTTTTAAAAATAGCTCGCTACTCGAAATGATTTGAAAATTTGAGGGTGATGTTTTCTGTTCATTACCAGCCTTAAGTAAAAATTTCGTGATTTTTAGAATCCTGTAGCTATTTTTAATAATTATTATGTAATCTGATCAGAATAGTGTTAATTACATAATAATATTACTCGTGAATCAAATGAGCTGAAATTCGAATATGTCATGCCTCTGTGACTTTTATATGTTGTGTTAAATTTTTAGAATATTTGGACTTGATTTGATGTGGTTAATAATTTATTTATCGAATCTGCTGAAAATAGTTTGAATTTTTATAAATCGGTTGTTTGGTAAAAAATTTTGAAATTTTACTGAGATGCTTATTTTGAGTGTATATTCATGCTGTTAAAAGATGAAAATTTGTGGAGTTCATTTTAGTCCTGTTCTGATTTAAATTCGATAACTGCAGAATCTTGCATGAATTTTTAAAATTATCACAGTTAATGTTCAGGGCTGAGATTTTTACATGTTGTCTCTATCATGCTGTAGCTTGTTGTGTTAAAGTTTCAAGTCCTGAATCGTTCATTTGGTTCGGATATGAGTTCATGTCCGTTTTTGCTGATTTCTCGTAGGAATTTTATAAATTAATGTGCTTTGAGTTTAAAGCTGAAAATTTATGGTTTTACTTATTTCTGGATGATGTAATTTTGTGTAAATTTTCAGAGCCTAAGTCGAAGGGCAGCCTGGTCAATGAATTTCATGTGATTAATAGCTAGTAAATTTTTAAACTATGATTTTGAAGTTAAACCTGTGATTGACTTGCTTTCCAATCTGTTGTGAGTTGAACTTGTTCAATCCTTAGATGGATTTATGTGAACTCCCATATGTGGTTTGGTCGAGTTTATTGTCGAGTCTAAGTGTTCCAACGTCCACAGGACTTCACGAACTACTTAGTCGAAACAAGTTCGACTAAGTCTGTTTTGTGTTTTCCGATTAAGTCCAGAAATTGATTGTAGGATCTTGACATAATGTAGGTGTTTGAGGAGTCAAGCCTCGACCTACTTCCATTGCTTTGAGTTATCATCAATCCGGAATCCAGGTGGGTTGTTATTCTAAAATTATCTGTGCAATGTGTGTTAAATATGTTTACTGTTTTGGCGTGATCTATGTATGAATGTGAATATGTAGCCTATCGATGTGAGCTATTATGATGGCCATCGGTACGGTTGTCCCCGTCGATGTAATACGGTTGCCTTATGAGGCAAGTCTCCGTAAAGACCTATTATGAAAGGTCGTGTCCGTGCGTGGCACGTACTCTCGCCGTTAGGGTAATGAATCCCCTTTCCGCGACTATTATGAATGATGTGCACAGGAGTATTTATGTTATGATGGAGACGTGACATATGTGTATTGTTTATGTTCATGCTGCGACCATGACTATTAACATATTATTAAATGTGCATTGCATAGTGTGAGTACGATAGTTAACTGTACTCACTCCCACCTGCTCGTAACTGATGCAGGTTAAGCAGTGGCGCGTGACGAGACAAGACGGGTGGTGGTCATTGCTCATTATACTTATTAATTATGCTTATTAACTTGCTTCCGCTTATTTATGAACTATGTTGGTATCGAACTTGTTGGATTGGATTTTGAACTTGTTCATGTTGGAAAATTTTCGGATTTGGTTTACGATGAAAAACCCTACTTGATACATGATTGAGTATGATCTGATGTTAAATTTATCGATTTGTGGTTAATGAAAATCGTTGAAAATCGGGTAATGAATCCCCGTAGTTCAGTTATGACTTGAACTGTATTTATGAAAGGAATGAGTAACGTCAAAAATTTATGATTCGAAAAATAAGTTTCGAAAATTTTTACCTTGATTTTTGGAAAAGCCATGGATTTCTTTTAAAAATCGATTGGGGCGTTACAGTCGACTTTCCCCTCGTGAGGCTTGATGTGCGTTTGAAAGTTCAAAATTGTTAAGTGGCGAATCAAGTATGTTGAATGGCGTCATTGTTAACATTTGTGCCTAATGGATTCGATGATTTTGACAGTACTTTTGAATTGGATGATGATTTGTTAAACGTGAGACCCGCATATGAATTCACGAAATTGTTTTGTCCCTTGATTATCTCGATTGATTGACTTGAGATAGGCGTGTCTTATGTTCGATTATTGTAAACGTGTTATGCTATTCGTTTGTAGTGCATCTAGATCGTTTGTGCTTTATGTGATTATACATTTGATGTACTTTGTGCCTCTCCCCTCGGATTGAAAAAAAAAAAAGAAAAAAAAAGAAAAAAAAAGGGAATAAAATGTGAGTTCGCGAGGAGGTACGGATTAGGCTCCTCTTATCCCGATTCACCTCGTGAAATGGGATAATGAGCCCGGGAAACCGGTCTAGGGAACTCGAGGAGACCCCTCGAGGTTAAACCTAGATAAGCATTATCTAGGAAACCTCGTTCGGAAAAAAAAAGCAATCAAATAACGAATGGGAGTTGGCTTATTGGTCCGTGTTTATTTTATCTTCTAGAGTTGACCGCATTAGCTTTTTGCACGTACATGTTAAAAAGGTAGCTTAAATCGAGAAAATCATGTGTAGGATGACTTGGGACGGGTTTTTGTTTTGTATGGATTTATATGTGGGGAACGTGTTTACGAATTTGAGTTTGATTCTTTGGATTACCGGAGGAAAATGAGAATTTCATTATTGCACATTTGTTAACCTTGGACCATTTGGCATTTCTTTTTGAGCTACTTAACGTTTTGTTTGCTTGAGGACAAGCAAAGAGCTAAGTGTGGGGGAGTTGTTTATTGTGTTTTTGTGTTTCTTTTATGTGTTTCTTGCGCATAGTTGAGTCGGTTTTAGGATTGTTTTAGCGTTGACCGGCCCATTTTATTGTTTTCGTGTATTTTTGTATTTTCCTTTTATTTTATGTCCTTGGCGTATTTTTCCGTGCTTGTTGGTGTTATTTTCAGGTTTATTTCGAGGAGGACGAGAAGAATCGAATCGAATCCCGAGAGGCGAGAATTTCCAAGTATTCCGAGTCAGTTTCGAGAAGTCCCGAATCATTGTGCTAATTCATTCCGAAGATCTCGAGCCAAAGTTGATCAAAAGTCCCAAAAGTCAGCCTCACTCGCGACTTCGAGACGCAGCCAGCGCTCGCGGAAGTTCATACCCTAGGCCCAGCACACTCGCGCCCGCGCAAGGTGCCCCGCAACTCGAGAGGGCCATTTCTCCGTGTCCGCGCCAGCGAAATCCGTCGCCAGATCGAGAGTCCGCGTCCGCGCCGTGCCCGCGCCTCGCGAAAGACACCGCAACATCGAGAGTAGTTCGTTGCCCCGCGCCACCTCGTGCCAGGTCCATGCATTCCTCGAGCCGACCCCTGCACCTTCACCCGCGTCCGCGCGCGCGAGTTGGGCCGCGACATTGAGAGTACTACTCCACCCTCCATCCGCGCCCGCGGGCTGGTCCTCGAGTTCGAGAGTGTCGTTTTCTCCCGCGCCGGTCCCGTGCATTCCTCGAGCCAGACAGCGCCATCTCGCGCCCGCGACCCGCGGAAGTCCCGGCGAGCTTGAGAGTGTGTCATTTAATCTGCGTGTTTCTAATGTGTGTTTTTGGAGCTGGACTATATATATGTTTTGGCCTTTTGTATTTGGACAGCTAGATTTCATTTGCTACTTTTACTCTTTTTGGTAATGTTTTTGTTTTTAGATTTCCCTCTAGATTCTCTCTAGCTTAGTATTTTCTGGCGAACTATTTCCGGCAACTTTTTCCGGCGACTCTCGTTTTTATGCAAGTTTATATCTTTTTACTCCGATCTCGACTAAGCATGCACTAGGAATGTGAGTACTTACTTTTAAGACTTATACTTTCGTATTGTGCATCTAATTTGCTATCTAGTTAGTAGAAGTGATTAGGGCTTACTCGTTTATTGGATATGTTTGCTCATTTAGTTATTTTTCCTGTTTTCGTGGTTTTTGAACTCGTCTATTGTGTTTGAGTTGGTTGAAGTGTGAATTTCTACTTCAAACATCGTGACTTTGATATTGAGCTCGGTTATTTCGTCGTAGAATTTTCGGCTTTAACTATTAAGTGTGATAGATGGAGCTCGTTCCTCTTGTTTTCGCTCGTTTTTCTTGATTTTTGGTTCTCCGGTTTAGTAAGCTAGGGTTTCTAGTCTAATTGTTCGTTTAATTTCTAGTTGCTTACTTTCTTAGTTAATCTAGCACTTAATCAATCTCCAACCAATGAATAGAATGTTTAGGATTTATTTTTCTCGTTTTGTGTTTTTGGACAATTGAATAGCAACCAAAGCTCCAAATAGCCTTCCTTAGAGAACGACCCGAGTCGGGTAACTCGGTTACCACATACCCACAATTCTCTACTAAACATCTGTGCACACGCGAGTCAGCATCTCGGGACTCCTATGTGCGCGAGGACTGGCGGGTGAGTGAAACTCGAGCGCTTGGAACTGGACCATCGGGATGTGCAGATCATGAGCGGGATGATCGGGGACGGCGTTCACGTGCTGCGTGGTGGAGCTGGGCATCGCGATACGTCCCTGGGACCTTTGCGTGCGGCTCGACTGTGCGCAGTTGCAGGCCTGTGCTCGCGGCTGCGTGCGGCTGGGCTCGGGGCGAGTTCCGGCGACTTCGGGCGGCAACGACGGTTTCCGGCGATACCTGGCGGCGGCGGTCGGCGGCAGGTGGTGGCCGGAATATTTGATCTTTAAGGTTTGATAAATATCACCTTACAATCTTCTAATGGATTACCTAAACACCTACTTCAATTAATCTTGGTGGTGCGATTACTTGAATTTCTCAAACACTCGAACAAGACAATTTTTCTCTCTTATGAAGATGGAAAAATCGGCCGTAGCAAGTTATTACAAGAGGTTGGGACATGGTGTATTTAGGCTCCATTAGGGACCTTAAAGATGTGCTAAATATGGGTTTATCCCATTAGGCAAAGGAATCCTAATTCTACTCCATATGATATTCCATTCTAGGATCAAACTCCTTCCCAACACCACATTATAGAAGACTCTTTAGTCTCCTTACCCTAGGTAACATTCTAGAAGGAATATTCTCCTACAAATGGAATATTACTTATGGAATAAAATTAATTCCTAAAATCCTAATTAGAATTAAATAATAATACATCCCACTAGTGTGTTATTATTGCTCTCCCCATTTAGCTCCAATTTAGTCAATTAAATCAAACCTCCACTTGATTAATAAATATTAATCTAATTGACCAATTTACCCCCTATGTTTAAGATATAACGTCTGTCGATTAATTAAATTACTGACAAAGTAATTAATCAACTTCTTATTCATTTCCGAAATTAGTACCACTCAGATCTTTAATCATTATGTCGGATAATCATCCACCTGCAGGGTTTAACATAATATTCCTTCCTGAGCTCACTGGAACATAGTGACGTCATCAATCCAGCACACTGGATTGACGTCATAGTGACGTCATAATATTTCGTGGACGTCATCAATCCAGCACACTGGAACAAAGTCACCGTAAATAACTTATAACAACACACCATATAAATATTATTATTTACTAAAGTACCGAGTATGTCATCCTAACAGAATAGGAGTCACTCTTGTAAATCAAATAAACATACATGCATGTTTTATATTATCTTACAGCTTTAGGGAACGCATCAATAACTGAAGGTCTAGATTACAACAACGGTTAGTGAGTCTCATAATCTTATACTTCCGCGGTCCAATTCAATACTTAACATAAGTACTAGTGTAGTTCTCCAGTCAAAGATCAACTGAATCAAGAATACACAACAGTCTTTTTCCAATAGGGGTCTCACTGCCTGTTTGGACTGTGAATGAATAATTTAGTCTTACAAGGAATCGATAGGTGACCTTTCTGTTCGAGACACCACGAACCACACTATCTCAATGTAAGACAAGGAGTATGATTGTATAAATAAATAAACTGCAAGCATATGTACTTTGACTAAAACATGATTGCCAAATCAAAATAGTATTGTTCATATCTGATAGCCAAGGTTTTACAGCATATCTAACAATCTCCCACGTAGGTTGGTTGTTGCTAGAACAATGATGACATTGACGAGTATCTGTTTTCATAAAGCCATCCATCTGTAGTTTGGTCAAACATCACCAAATTTTATAATAAGGAGCTGCAGTTTTCAATACCACCCAGTAATTTCAAAATTACAGAATAACTGAAGGAGATTTGTACAATTTTGAAAGATCAGGTAAACTCTTGTGATTCGACTGAACTCTGTTATTCACCTTAAAATAACAGAACCAACAATAACCAAATCACCTGTACAAGAAACTCAATCTTCAAACGCCTTCTTGCTTCATGTTCACTGCGGCCTTCACCTCGTTGTCTAAAATAGCATTACTTTCATTCAAAAATATAGTTGATGGTCCATGTTGCCAAGCAAGCTCAAACAATACGGTTACCAATTTTTCTAAATCACTTGCACTGTAATTCATCCTTAGTATCTTAAGAGCCTAGCCCTTGGATACTAATGGATCTAAATCTTTGAATAAAATAAAAAATATGAAAATCAGAAAGTATAGTTTATTTCATCAAAGGGAGATTAATCATAAATACAATACTGGAACTAATATGAAGCTCAAGAATAAACGTAAAAAGGGAATTGCAGTACCCCATTCGTTTATTAGAATTTTTTGAGTTTTATGTGATTATTTATATGCATTTATATTACTTTTGCCTTCGGTATTATTTATATCGTTTACCTGTCTATTATTATTAACTGCTCGTCTTTGCATGTTTTATTTATCTACTTGAATATTAAATTGCTATGTGCTTATTTGTTCTTGATTATTATGTGATTTATTTTAATTATTATGTGTTTGAATTATTAGGATTAATTGAGTTTGAATTTAATTTGTTCGGCGATTTCGGTTTAATCGCGTAAACCGAATTTAATCTGTTTGAATTATGGATTTATTCGAATTATTTATATTTATTTTAATATCTATTTAATTGCATTTCATTTTCTAAGTTCGATAAGTTTCCGGATTTAATGAACGTTAATCATCTGAGTAAATTAATTTATTTACATATTCTAGTCTATTTAAATTATCCGCAGAGAAGCCGAATTTATTAGAATTTTCGGTTTAGCGAATGCCGATCACTTCTAGGCCGTTTTCGGTTCGGTCGATTTAATTATTTCTCAATTTCCTAGCAAGTATCGAGACCAGTTATTAGCCTTATTTTCCATCCCCTTTAAGCTTATATTTTCGGCCATTTCGAGTTACCAAAACCGTCCCATATTATTATTAATGGTTTTATTTTTACTTTGGCTGAAAATTCAAATAATTCCTAGCATTTTGGCATATTTCTTGAGGCTAAAAATCAAATTTAAAGAAGACAAATTTCCCAGCTTATTTTCACGCCATTTATAATTATTTGGAGTAGGAAAAAATTACTTTTTCTTCTTCCCAGCTTATACCATTTCCTCGCCACCGCAGATGGGCCACTCGTCGTCGTCCATGCGTCTGCCGAGGAAGAGATCGTGAGCAGCAATCACACCAAAAGAGACCTTCTTGCTTCACGTTCGAACACGCGTATCAGCCTCGTACACGCGAAAAGCCGATAGTGAGAGCCGAGGCCAATTCCCAACGTCCGAGGCTCTTTCGACTCCAGATTCTCATCCGTTTTCGGTTTGTTTTGTCCGACTTCCAACCGAGCGTGTAGATTCTCGAAGGAGGTAATCGGTTGAACCTTCCTCACTATTTTATGCTTGGGATAAGTATCCTTATTCTATTTTGTCGGTTGAATAGAAACATGTTGATTGCGGTTGGAATTATTCAATTCTACTCGTTATGTTGCTTTGTGTGAATTTGACGTGGAATTGGAACTCTCTCGTTGTGTTATCGACCCCTCTTCAGTTGTTGTGTTTGTTGTTGAAGTTTGGTCGAATATTGGAGCCTCGTTTTGTTACCCCGGGCCCTTGTCTTGTGTCGTTTGATATTCATCTAAGTGTTGAGTTTTAAAAACCCTACTTGAGACCTTCGTACTGCTAGTTGTTCATTGCTGTTTTTGACCCCTTGAACTCGATTAAACGGCTTTGAACTCTTCTGGTGAATTAAATTTCAGTCTGTTATGTTTCATATCCAACAAGAATCAAGTGAATATAAATTTGTTTCTGAAAATTATGGCCAATGTTAGATGGTTGTGCATCCAGTTTTTCTGGATTTTTGGTACTGCATGTAGTCTGTTTTCCTTACTGCTTTTGAGTACTGTAACCTTGTCGTCTCTTTCTGGAGTCTTCACATAAATTGTAACTCAATCGGTTATATTTCATGAGAAAAATGAATAAGATGATTATCAGTTTTTTGGTGAGAGTTATGTCAAAAATTCGATCATTGCGCAGTCAGTTTTTTGTTTTAATCGCAGAAGTTTGAGTCTGTCGTTTTTGCTATTTTTGTCCTATTTCGAATGACCTGGGAATCTTGATGTCTTCATATGATTTGTATTTTTATCTCTTAGGTTTCAAATGGCACAAATTTCATTCAAATATAATTTTTGTACAAAAAGATGCGTTCGAAATACGAACGCCATGCAATATATTTTTCTGAAAATTTACAGCAGATTTATTGTGTAAATTTAATTTGTTTTCAGCCTTTTAACATGCCCGAATGCACTCAACGTCTCATGAAAGTTTTGGTTCTGTCTCTCGAGATTGTTTAGGAGGAAGAATAACTTTGATTCGATTTTGTACCAAAAGTTATATTCAAAATAAAATCATTGCGCATAAAGAGTTACCCATTTTTCCGGCAACTTGGTTTTTATATTTTCTCTCGCCCATTTTCGAGCCGAACCTTAATTTTAACCTCGTGACCATTGTTCCGAGTTTTGTTCCAACCATCTGAGAATTCCAAATTTCACAAAATTCCACGTGCTACTTAGTCGATAATGTTCGACGAAGTATGAATTCTCGTTTTGAATTCCCGATTTTCAAGATAAGTATTTCTGAAATATTAATTATCTTGATTAAATTGTAGGCGCTTGAGGAGTCGAGCCCCAGTCTACCTGCAACCGATCGTTTGAATAATCTTTTGCAAATGGTCAGGTGGGTGTTGATAAACTTTACCATGTATGTTAATTTATATAAAGATTTGGCTTGATATTTAATGTATGCATGTGAACCGGTAGTCTATGAGAGGGTACTCTTGGTTAATGGGTTGCCGACCACTCCTAACTCTAGCCTTTAGAGAGCTGACTCCGCGATGGTGTATCGACGGTTTGCTCATGTCGGTGGTGTATCGACGGTATAGATGTGATCACATGAGACTAGGGCTGTTTTAGGGGGTAGACTAGGTGATTTGCTTACATGTTGCGATTATGATTTTAAGTCTTTATATTGGTTATAATGCATGCTTTTCCCACGGTGAGCATGTTGGTTGCTCATTCACACTATTATCCCCCTTTTCAGGTTGAGTTGGTGGCCGTGGCGAAAGACGAGCGAGGCGGGGTCATTTATTTGTTATTGAACTGTTTACCTGCTTCCGCTTACTTATTATTATCTATCTCATTGTCAGACATGTTTTATTATTGTTTTGGAAACTGAACTATTGTTTTCTGGGATCATTATCCCATGCTTTGGAATTTGAACTTGGATGATTTATCTGGGATTTTGTTATGACTTGAATATATTATTATGTTGGAATTATGAATTGGATATTTCATGTGTTTGAATAATTGTTGATGCATGTGGAATGTTGGCATGAGATAATTTATTCGGGATGGTTGTACCCCGTCGTTTAAGTGTTGGCTTAAACTGTATAAATGTGGATATTTGAGTAGTGCCCGTTAAATAAATCTTTAAATGGATTTTTCGAAAAATTAACTCTGATTTTTGAAAAAAATAATCAATATTTTTTCTCTTAAAAATAACGAGGCGTTATAGGAATAAACTATAACACGAATAACTGGTGCAAAAGCTAGACATTTTTTGGAGGTTTGGCAAGCACACAGAAATTATGGAGATGGGAATTTACAATCAGTTGATAACTCATTCATTTATTGACCATTGATGCCAATTAAGTCATACAGAATTGCAGATGTTGGGGAGGAATAAAATCATTTGAAATGAATATAGAAATTACTTGATGAGGTGTTTCTACATGTTACGTGAACAACACAATGAAATCATGGTAAAGTGAATAAGATTTCACTCAGGCTCCTTCAACTCAGACGTCCTCCGCACCTGCAAGAACCCAACGCTGGAAGGGGTCCTGGCGTTGGGCCTCCGATGCTCTGGTCAGAATCACTCCAATCCCAAGTGTATAGTAATGAATGTAGAGAGAATGAGAGAATGAGATACCTTAGCCCCCTTTTATAGGGGAAGTGTACCTTATGGCTCAAGTTGGGCTTGTCCAATAACATTATGCCACGTGTCCTGGCCATGTGTAGACTTATTTTTCAATAAATTCCCTTTTTATCTATTAAACCCGGTCTAGTATAATATCCTATATTATCTAGTCTCCCCACTCTGGTCGAGTAAGCATGACTCGATCCAAGAGTGAAATTCCTCTTCGGGCCGTTTCTATCAACCTGCCACTGAGGTTATAATTTGAATAAATCATCGACCACCAAATACTTACCAAACCTCCAAATGAGCATCAGGACCCCCAAATGAACACCGAAGGACCACTAAGGTCAGAAACCGAAAGACCCGCCGCTGAGGTCAAATACCGAAAGACCTGCCTCTGAGGACGAATACCGAGAGACCCGCCACTGGGGTCGAACACCGAAAGCTGAATGACCACTGAGGTCGAAAACCGAATGACCCGCCACTGGAGTCGAACACCAAAAGCCGAACGACCACTTAGGTCGAAAACCGAGAGACCTGCCACTAGGGTCGAACACCGAAAGTTGAACGACCACTGAGGTCGAAATCGAATGACCCACCACTGGGGTCGAACACCAAAAATCGAGAGACCGTTGAGGTCGAAAACCGAAAACCGATAGACCAGTGAGGTAGAAAACCGAAAACCGATGGACCACTGAGGTAGAAAACCAAAAACCGAGATACCACAGAGGTCGAAAACTGAGAACCAAGAGACCATCGATGAGGTCGAAAACCAAAAATTGAATAACCATTGAGGTCAAAAACCAAGTGACCGTCTATGAGGTCGAAAACCAAAAATTGAAGTCTTGAATTTACAATTTTGACTTACTTCTTGTTGTTTTTCGATCACCATGTTTGAGCTCTCTTCCTTCAAAGATAAACCTTTCCTACCACCTCGTCCTATCATCTCCCCCTCAGTTTAAAATTTGAAAGTCAACCGTGCTGTTTATCTTCTCGAAAACCAAATGTCCTAACACCACACCGAAATCGAAAGCCGAATTCTACAAAACCAAATAAAATCATCAACCTGAATAACCTGACTCTGTGAACTGCTCCGAGTGAACTCCCTCGACCTACCTCGGAGGTCGAAAAATAAATTCGACAAAATCACAATCAAGTAAAACTCATCGACCTGCCACCGAGGTCTTCGAATAATCTCCACGAATTGCGCCAAATGAACTCCCTCGACCTACCTCGGAGGTCGAAAAATAAATTCGACATAACCAAAATCAAATAAAGATCATCAACCTACCACCGAGGTCTACAAATAAACTTCCTGAGTTGCTCGAAATGAACTTCCTCCACCTACCACTGAGGTCGAAAAATAAATTCGACATAAGCAAAATCAAATAAAGATCATCGACCTACAACCGAGGTCTGCAAATAAACTCCCTAAGTTGCTCGAAATAAACTTCCTCGACCTGCCACTGAGGTCGAAAAATAAATTCGACATTACCAAAATCAAATAAAACCATTATTAACCTGCTCGAGCTATCCGTAACGAGCTTGATAGACCTGCCACTGAGGTCAAAAGCACAAATACCACAAAACCAAATCAAACAAAACCATTAACCTGCTCGAGCTATCCATAACAAGCTTGATCGACCTGCCACCGAGGTCAAAAGCACACATATACCACAAAAGCAAATCAAACAAAACCATTAACCTGCTCGAGCTATCCGTAACGAGCTTGATCGACCTGCCACTGAGGTCAAAAGCACAAATACCACAAAACCAAATAAAACAACCATTAACCTGCTCGAGCTATCCGTAACTTGATCGACCTGCCACTGAGGTCAAAAGCACAAATACCACAAAACCAAATAAAACAAAACCATTAACCTGCTCGAGCTATCTGTAACGAGCTTGATTGACCTGCTACTGAGGTTAGGCAGAAGTATACAATAAAACCAAACCAAATAGAGCCAAGTAGAAATCATCGGCCTGCCTCCGAGGTCTCCAATAGGCACCATATCTTCAACGACCCAATACTAGGATCGACCACCCAGCCCGAAGGCCTTAGTCATGGTGGATTTTTTTCTTCGACCACTTGCCCACTCCCGAAAGGATGTTCCAGAAACGAGCGACCACCCATCCCGAAGGCCTTAATCATGGTGGATTTTTTTCTTCGACCACTT